ATTTCGTCTCTGCAGTCATTACAGTGCAATTTTATAACTCTAAAAAGATTAACATTGATCAGTGTATTGATTTTAATTTGTCTTCGTCTCTTTATGTGAGTGGGTCTTCCTGGTGAGAGAGTGTCTGATGGCAATGAGGCAATTCCATCCCACTCATATAATTTACTATCCAGTTTTAAAGTGATGATTTATTCTTTTGTTAACGGATGTTTTTCCAACTCTAGATGTTACGTAATGTCAAATGGTAGAATTACTGTGAATAATTAATCGGCAAGGACGTAGAAGGAAGTAGTTGTGGACTACTTTAATGTATCCTGGCATTTGTCTAGCCGGACGGCGGGCCACAATTTTTTTGCCTTCTATAACATGAAGCTGGGTGAAGAAAACGCTGTTTTAAAGCGAAGTTTCAAGCAGGGAATCCATAGAACATTTGCACGGTAAAGTCGGCGCAGTAGTTTTTGGCCGGTGGAGAAGCTAGCGGAGCTGGCGGACGGGCCTAGTCTGTGTACCTGAGGTGGCACGGTCAGTGAATTTATTTTGTTTGGGCGTTCAGTCCGAGGCTCGCTCCTCTGTGCAGTCAGCATTATACTATTGCACAAGTGACTCGCTCCTAGCCTTACCCTTGAAAATTCCACCGGCCAAAAACTACTGCGTCAACTATACAGCATTCTGTTCGAGGCCCACGAAGGAATTTGTTGCGTCTGCAGCTGACTGACGACAGATAGCCTTGATTCCTGATGACACCGTGATGCATTACGCATTAAGGCATACAGACATGTGTTTTGAAGTGCTCGAAAAGTGATAAGAAGAAGAAAGAAACATTCCGCTTCGTTTATATAAAGAGCGATCGAAAAGTCATGCAACCCATATTAAAATATTTATTTATGATTGCAATTCAATACAGTTAGACTGGATTAATAAACACAAAATGTCGCTGTGATAAAACGAGAGCCCGTGCACGTCTCGTCATGTTGTAACCTGCTTACGCCAGTCCGTCAGTTGGCTTTCAACAGCCGAATTACAAAGATGTCTTTTTCACAATTGCAACGATTGTTCGTTGTCGGCAACTTGTTCCCGATTCTTCTGTACCAGAAAAATCATGATATATTTTAAGGTATTATGTAAGCATTTGCATTGACGGAATGAGGAAAATCACATAAAGCTATCAGTATAGACAGCCCCACGGGTCCATATTTGAATCTGGAAATCTTCGAATACGTAATAGAAGTGCCAGCCAATGCGTACTGTTTGTAAGTGTAATTTTACACTAGAATGTGAACTTCCACAACAACGTCTGTGAAACAGCCGTGTAAACGTGCCACGGCACTCGAAAGAACATGAAACCTGCCTAGTGCCAATGAGTGTTTTCACCAGTCATATTTCTCAGTGTTGATTCCCTTTCAATATGGACTTCCCATCTTAAATAATGACATTACATCTTAAATTTCTTTAAAATTGTAAAGTGACTTTGTTCTCGCTCTCTGTTCATATAGTTCTAGTGAAACATCAGCCCTGGAAAAGCGATGTGACCCAATTTTGGTAAATAATCTCTACATAACATTTACTGAAAGACGCATTGTACACCCGTGAGGCTCACCGCGAAACAGCGGGGCGTCTTCCTAACTGCGAGAGACATGGCACCGTAGTGATAAGACTAATTCCTCCGCAATAATTTTTACGACCTAAAGCTACACCTGTCATTAAACGCCCCTGATGATAAAAGTTATTCTTGAAACGCTCAGTAGCAGGCCTCTCGGAACATGAAAAAATGGCTGTCTTGTGGAATATTGCACCTTGTAGTCTGGTGGTTACTGGCCA